CTCCCCCACTCAGTTCTCTCTCCAATCACTTCCCTCTCCATCGTTCTCTCTCTTCTTCATGGTCTGTGCTGCCATGTCTGAAGCTTCAAGCGCCTTTGTGAGTAGAGGGAGGGGGGGTAAGGCGGGTCCTTTGCCCCAACTGCGGTGTGCTTGCCAATCGGTTCACATCGATGACCACCAGCAACATGTGTCGTGTCTTCCACAAGTGTCCCTACTTTTCAGTTTGTGTTGCTAACTTGCTATTTATTTGGCTCTAGAATGTTGGTTTCCGCTGTTTGGTTCATAATCTAGTGTTGCTTTGGTTTTTAGGCTGGAGGTTGTCAGTACTATCAGTGGGAGGATGAAATGGGGGAGACTAGTATACAGAAAGTGGCTCCTACAGCAACTTTGTCTCCTGTTCCTCTTCAGGCAGTGCCAGCAGCAGCTGCTATCCCTACTCCCACTCCAATGGCTCTCATCCAGGAAGGTGGTCATGCTGGTGGAGTAGTAGTGCAAGATAGGGTTATGCAGCAGCTTAGATGGATTGAGAAGCTGGTCTTTGTTGCAATCTTCCTTGCCTTGTATGCAATTATGAAGAAGTAGGGTTCTATGTATGTGTGTGTCACTGTGTTTGCATGCTTGAATCAATGAATGAATGAGTCAATGATGGATGGATGATTGCAGTCCAGAAAATTAAAATTCTCAGATTGTTCATTCACCAACATGTAAACCTTAATACATTACAAACATAAGTAGTGCTCATGGTTCAGATTGTTCACCAACATGCAAACTATAAACCACAGTTTCATCTAACACTAGTAGTTTGTCCAGAGCAAGTACCATAAACTACATGTTCTGATCATGCAAAATATTATAGCTCCATTACATCAGCATTTCATAGCACAAAAGCCAAGGTGTTCTCTAGAAGTACAGCATGGGGGAGTCACCTTTGTTCATTCCAGTAGCAGTTGCTTCTTGCTTCTGGTATTTGCAGCTGGGCTGGAAGGGTCACCTGGAGCCTTGGTGCTTGTTCCCCTAGCTGGAGTGGCATACACATCTTTCCTTGGTATAAGCTTCTTCTTCAATCCAATCTTTCTCCTTGGTGTATGAAATGTAGCAGTTGAAGCTTCCTGTGGCTCATGCTGAACTGCAGCATCTTCATTATAAGGGGCAAGGTGCACAATTTGAATAGGAATTGGTTCATTGGATCCAGTTCCAGATCTTGTGGTATATGAAACATAAAGTTTAGTTTGGGCTGTTGGCACTGCAAAAAATTAGAAAGAAATGGAGAAGTGGCATACCTGCTAGAGAAAGGAGGAGTAGTAGAGACTAAAGTACTTGTTGCTGCTCCCTTAGATTTGGAGACAGCTGATGAAGAAGAGGAGTTTCTCTTTCTTTTCTTGTGTACAAGATTCTCCACTGCCTCATTGGGAGGGAACACCATCCCTGTGGCCACAACAATGCTTGTCTCTATGTTAGCTTTAGCTGTTTTTTTCTGCCTCTTCTTTGGCAGACCCCTGCAGGTGAAATTTTAGTTATATTAGATTATTTAATGCAGTTCATATCATATATGAATAAATTTTAGTTATGAGAAGTTCACCTGTCAGCCTCCATTGCAGCAATGTATGTTGGACTCCTAGTCTTGCAGGTGTACCAGTGGTGCCCTAACTCATGGCATATTGGACACTCATGCCTCTTTGATTTCCTTTTGCTACCTCCTTCAACTGCCCCTTTGTACCTGTTCTTTCTTCTACCAGCTGTGGACTTAAGCAAGGGAGGATGCATGAAGAATCCATGTGTGGCATCAGGCCACATAGACTTGTCAGGAATGGATGGAATGTCACCTTCATATGCAGCTTTGAATTTGGCCACATAATAGCATTCATCCACATGGTCTTCTAGCTTTATACCTGGTATAGATGTTATGTAGGCAATTGCATGCTTGCATGGTATTCCTGACCCTTGCCAAACCCTGCAGGAACATGTCATGTTTCTTAAGTCCACAACAAATCTGAATCCAGTCCCCCCCCCCTTAGCACAAACTTCAGCAACTCCATCATGTTTTGTGATGACCTCAATGTCTAGGTTGAAGTTGTCTTCCCTCAACTGCTGCATAACATGAGGTAGAATCTTTCCTACAGACTTCTTGGCCAACTTTTTCCTAGTATTCCATTTAATCAACAGCTTCTGCCTTATGGTATCCATCAAATCATCAATGTGCGTGGCCTTCTCTTCCTTTATCCAGTTATTGAAGGACTCGGCCAAATTATTGGTTACATAATCCACCTTGGAAACTGTGCCAAACTGGCTTCTGGTCCATAGCTTCTTGTGAGTCTGTTGCAGGTACTTCATTGCCTCAGGTTTGGCTGCAGCCATGGCCTGGTAGTGTTTCTCAAACATGTACTTGCTCCAAGAGTAGGCAGATGCCCACAGGTGATCATCAAAAATTTTACCACTGAACCTTTTCTTAAAATTTTGAACTAAATGTCACATGCACTCTCTATGTTCAGCATGTGGAAAGACCTCACTAACACCATGCATTACTGCCTGCCCACAGTCTATGTAGAATGTCCAACCAGGTGGGGTGCCTATTGCTTCCTTCAACCTCTCCATAAACCAAACCCAGTTTTCATTTGTTTCAGAATCAATGACACCTATTGCTACTGGGTACATCCATTTGTGTGCATCAACTGCACAAGCAAATGCACAACTGGCCCCTAAACTTTCCACACAAGAAAGTGCTATCTACTGCCAAATATGGCCTACAACCTCTAAGGAAGCCATCAACATATGGTTTCAGAGCTAAAAAACCTATTAAACCTAATCTTCTTGTTGATGGTGTGGTGATCAATCACAACAAATGAACCAGGACATGTTTCATCTAGCCGGGCCTTAAATCTATATAGGTTATCAAAACTTTTATTCCAGGGCCCATATAGTTTATCCAATGCAAGATTCTTACCATGATACACCCTCCTGTACGGTATCAAGATTTTGTACTCATCTTTCAGCCTCCTTTGGAGTTTAGTAGCACCAATAGTTGCATCTTCTTTCAACCAGTCAATCACTTGCTCGTAGACCCAAAACTGTGTAACCCCTTTACATACGCTAGACCTCCTTTTGCTTTGACAGGTATGGGGATATGGGTTCCTCTTCACCTGCAAATGACATAAAAATGAAATGCTTATATCTGAAAACAACTGACAGATAAAAAAACATACAAATTCGACACTAACAGATTACCTTAATTGATTCATCATCCTTCATGGTTGAGGCATGAATTCTCCACCTGCAGCCCTCAGTACTCCCACAGCAGTAAACTCGGTACCTTCCTGTGTCACTCTTTTCAATGTCATAATGAAACTCATGTTTGACGGCATGTGAAGCTAAAGCCAGCTTAAATGCATACATGTCTCTATACACACTGCCTACTATCATAGGAGGATCCTTGTTGTCATACTCAGCATCAGGCATATGACCAGGCTCATTATCTTTAACAATGTCATCTACATCCTCCATTTCATAATCATCATCATCATCATCAGACACAAATTCATCATCACTGTCTATTTCACAGTATGTATCTGCATTAGATCCTTCACCATCCCTTTGTTTGCTGCAACCTTGACTCTGAGGTTTTGGAGGTGGTGGATGTTGAGGACCAAGGTCTATATACAACATTTCCTCATCAACACCCCCATGCTCATTGGATGGGTTTGGGTTAGCCAGGTATTCATCATCTGCAGTTCACTCTGGGTATGGCTTGGTTGTGCAATGCTAGGACAAGACAGTGAAGGGGTTCTCAACAGACTGCTAAGAATTGCTAAAATCCCAAGGAGGAATTTCAAGAGGCTCAGTACTGGGGCTGTGGTAAGCAAAAGTCAGGAAGCAGCACTTGGAAGCACTATGTTTTGCAAACATGTCAAGCAAATCTTGGTCGGTGCAAACTTGGATGTTCATCTGTCTCTCAATGCAGAAGTAAAATAATCTCATAACATCCCCATAATCAGAAGGATACTTATTCTCAACTTCAACAAGTAGATCTACGAAGTTGGTAAGATCAGCATCGACGACTTTGTTCAAGCTAAACCACCGAGCACGAGTATGGCAAGCAATTATCCAGATTTCTAGGTTGTAGCTACTAGCAGGGTCCATCCTACAGATGAACAACAGTGAGTTCACATACATCTATCTATCTAAAATCACACTACATCAAACACCTAACTGACCACAATCACAAGGACCAAGCAATCGAAGCGGAAAAAACCCTAAATTTGGTACTCACCCGTCAGGAAGCCAGGGAGGTCGGTCGCCCGCGCCCACCCCCTTGTTCGTGGCCATGCGCCGCCAATCTGGGGGATTCATGGTTTCTTCCTTCAGGCCTCCTCTTCCTTGCTCCACTACCCCATTCCACGCCGCAAGCACGGGGGATTGGGGGGTTCTTCTCTCCGCGCTGTAGCCGCAAGCAGGGCCGAATTGTCTTCTTCTCTCCCCGCCGACGCCGCAAAGACGAGGTATTGGCTTCTTCCCTCCCGCCGCCGCCGCCGCAGCCGCCGGTACAGTCGCCGCTAGGATTTGGGGGAAGAGGACTCGAGCGAGATGGGGAGAGTGAGGGACTAGTGGTGGTCAATCGTATTCAACACGGTCTCCACCGCCTAAGGGCAACACGGACAATTTCCCTGGCCGGTCCCACCTGTAAGGCCTACCAAATGGCGAAAATCAAACAGAACCAGGACGGAATGACATGTAAGGCAAAGAAGTTTAGAGCAGTGGCACATGTGTGCGGTCACCTTTTTTAATGGCTTCTGTGTAATTACAAACTTTCTTAATGGCATACATGTAAAAGCCTCTTGAATCTGATATGTGGTTGTGCAAAATGTTGAATCTGATTTCCGTTTTAGTTTTAATCGGAGTTTTTAATCTGGTTTTACTTGTTCTGTCGTCCAACGACACCGATGCCAGCGAACACAAGCCCAGCCACCGTCTTTATCCAAGGTCCACACATTTGAAGTCATGGCAACCTACGCAAGCTCCACCGCCGGCTCCGTGATTCTAATAGAACCAAAATGGCGTCCTGATAATTCAATCGAAGTAGCAAACTTGAGTCCTTCAAATTAAGCACGTCACCAGCGTTCTCTCCACCTACCAATGTCCTCGCTCTCTCCAGTCTCCACCAATGTTCCCCTCCCCTGCATCATCAGCGCTCCTCCACCTCCGAGGCGCTCATGGGACAGCTGCAGAAGCAGGGAGATGGAGGCGCACACGGTGATTAGCTCGGTAAATATGGCGACAGATAATGAAAAAAAGAAAACACGATAGACAATCTGTACGCGATTTTTTGGCTCACGCTCGGTAAACCGTCTTTCACGGAGGTTATACCGAGGCTGTTGGAGATGCTCTTACAATGTCAGCGACTCAAGGGAAGTGTGGTGCCCTACCATATTCTTCCAGGCATGCTCGTCCGGTGATATATATCCAGAGATACGTCCTCTCAAAGTACAGGGAAGTGGGGAAAGACACGTAGGCCTTATTATTGCAACAGAAATACAAATTTTGTGCAACAGCAACAGCAGTCCCTCAATTATACACTCAACATCGCAAAAGCATGCACCAGGTTCGGCAGGCACTGGGAAACATGGGATTCCTGGATCTAGCGCCTAAAGCCTTTTCAGTGTGCGAGCAGGCAGCTCGAGTTTTCCAGACAGCACGGTCACAACAAGGTAATGGACAATATGCACAACAGGTACCGGTTGTCAGGTTCTCATGGTGCAAAAATGACAGTTGGCTCTTGCCGACCTGGAGAGATCAGCAAAAGCACACTGATTTCTTCCTCTTTCCTGATCCAAATATGGTGCCCATGTTCCACTGTTCAGGGCATATATTGGATCTGAAGCGCACTGATTTCCTCTTTCCTGATCTGAATATGGTTCCATAAACTTTGTTTGCCAAGATCAAATACTGGTTGCTCACATGAAACAATCGTCCGCATTGTCCACGCAGTGTTCAAGCACCATACGAACTCTAAGCTGAAGAAGAGATTCAACGTTGCACATTAGGTTTATCACACATCAAGATTAGTTTTGAGAACTGTCAATTAGGACAGACTAGATACCAGTGATGCTAATCATCATAGGATCAAATTGTTTAAGAAGGGAGTACCTTGCAATCCAAGCAGGGGTCATTTATCATGCTTTTCACTTGTAGGATCACTCCAGCATTTTGTAGTCTGATAACTCTACCAGATGAGGTTTCACATTTTGGGTAAATCAAGTTCAGAAGGCACCACAGGGTGGCAACCCGCAACTGTTTATCCTTGCTTTGCAGAAAGTTCACTACAAATGATGGTTTGATGCGATCTGCTCTGTGAGGAAGAAGAACATTCATCACAGCTTCCTTGTTCAATTCGTTTCCAGCCGCAATGTTTGCAAGCACATACATACCCTGAAGAAAGGGAACAGCAAGATCAGTGACTTGCCGTACAATGGTTTTTGCATTCTTCTATAAAACACTAATGCTAAGTCATAGAGAAGCACATGACATATGTCCAAAATATCAAAGAATGGGATAAAAACTATGCAGTTCACTAGAATAGATGTTTCTCTCTCCACTGTCCAGCTGTCCCTCTAAAGTTAAAAAATGCATATGAATTGACATACGGTTATATTATTACAAATCTTCAAAATAAGTAAATAAATAGACTATACTTTTGAAGAAAACTGACCTGAATGCACACTCCCGGGGCAGATGCATTGTTCAGTTGCCTTGCAATAGCATCCATAACCATTCCATCTTCGCCAATGACATAATTAGCAGAATCCACATATCCATCAACAAGATTGTGCACAAGTGCCAAGGTCTGTTCTTGAACAAAATGTTCAGAATCTGCATGACATTTCACAATTAGCAGTCAACATACTATGGCAGTTCCCTCATAATCATGTTTAGGCATTAGACTTACCGCATATGAGGCTTGAAAGAGTAGATAAGGTCAACTCCTTAACAATGAAGTCTTTATCCTTAGGACTAAGAAGGAACATAATATTCCTGAGAGCCCATACAGATTTTAGCCTCAACATTGCATCCATGGACTTTGACAACTGAACAAGTTGTGAGACGACCCCAGAGTGAAGAAGAACTGATTTCCTGGGTGTCAAATTAACAGCAATATTGCAAATGGCACCAAGCGCGGAAACCTGCTTCAAATCAATAAGTGAGAGATAAATTAGGAAACTTTTATTGAGTCATAATGGATTAAACTTTAAAGACCTAAATAGTCATGTTTCAATGTACAGCTAATTGCCAAATTCATACTGACTTTAGCAACTTCAATGAGAAAAAGGTTGCTGGAACAATAAACCTGAGAATTGGTAGCCAGGGTGCAGATTACCAGAAGAGAAAGTTTGGCACTAGCTTTCAATTATTGTTGTGCAACTTTGCGTTGATAAGATAATGGCTTAAAGGCTTGATTACTGATGTCTGAAAATACAGCTAATTGCCCAATCGACACCAAATTTAGCACATCATAATGCCAGAAAGGTTCCTCCACCCATAAAGCAATGAAACGGTGCCCAAGCTACCAGTAGCCAAATAAGGAAGTGTACCTGCTAGCTTTCAAATCATTACTTTGTTACTGTACATTGGTATGTAAGATTCTAATCAATCCTAATGTCTAAAAGACCTACTGTAGTGATGCCTCACTAGCTAGTTGAATACTGCCTCCATTTCTTTTTATAACGCATGTTAGGATTTGCAGAAGTCTTTTGAGATATAATTTCACTAATCTCTTATTGTTGTTGACACATTTATCTGGAAAATATATGAGCGTCGCAGGAAGAAGGAACCACAGCATCCACAAGTAGCTAGGATAGAGTTTGTTCAGGAGTTGTTTCAGTTCACTCAGGGTTTGTTCAGTTCAGTTAGTTCAGAGTCTGTTTTATTAAACTTAATTTCATCTAAAGAGCCTGCTCAGAGCCTCCTTGTGAGGGCGAGTACACCAGCTCACCATCTACCCTTCCATTCCCAGCTAATGAGCCAACTAGCCACATCACTTATAATATATTATGAGTTTCAATAAAACCAAATCGTATTGAAAGATATTTGAAATATGAATCCAATGAAATATCTTTTATGCCTTGCACATTTATATAATTTCATAAACTGTTGGTCAAACTAATAATGTTAACTTTTCTAGATTCCAATACGCTATATCTTGAAATGGAGGGAGTACTGAATTTAGCATGGCTTCTCTAACAAGGTTGCTCCAATAACAAAACCCTAGCAGTGGTACAAGTTCACCTGCTAGCTTTTAGGTCCCTTTTGTGCAACTATATGTTGATGCACAAATTTATATTTCGACAACAAAACTATAAATTCTGTAGGGCACTTTACAGAAACTGGATTCCAAAAAAAAGAGTAGGTAAAACTGCAACCACACCATGCCACAAAGGGGTAAGCTGCCTTGTAGTTTTAAATTCAGGAATCAGCTAACATGCTACATGATGGGTGGGCAAATACATAAGTTGCCATGCCATGCACTGAAACTCGATTTCCTTTTAGAATACCACATGTTCATAACTTAACTAGACCATTGGAAGAATAAAAGGTACTTGAAGCATCTGCACTGCACCTTCCAGAAAACACACACACACACACACACACACACACACACACACTATCTCAGGACTATGTTATTGTAGATTTGGCAGGATTCACATACCTGGACCGAAGTAGATGAGTCATTTAAAAGCTGGACTAGGGGACCAATAACTGTATCGCAGGATAATCGACCTCCACTGAGTACCTGGAGATTAAATACATCAATTGAATCATCTGGGATGAACAACAAAAGTCAAGATGGAAAGATGCATGCATCTTACCTTTGGTGACCTGGAGATATTCTTCAGACATGAACATGCTGCAATGCGGATATCAGCCCAATCATGCTTCAATGCCTCAAGGAGTAAGGTTGATACCTATTTTAAGAGATTGTGTTAATAGTCATAAGTTATTTGTCAATGGACAACCGTATGCATCCACTACTAAAAACTTAAACGTTCGGAGCTGACATTGAGACAGTTGATTGAGTTATCAACCTAACTGAAATTAACAATAACAATAGGAGGACCCTACAGAGTACTGAACTAGAATTGACAACTTTGGAACTCTTCACACATGACATACCTCAACCGACATCAGTTGAGATCTTGACTCTTCAAGTTTTGAGCAAAGTTCAGATAACGCAAGCAATATGGTCACTGCTCGCCTTGTCTCCAATGGATTTGCTAGCAGATGGTTGCTGAGCTTCTCAACTGCATTCGTTGTAAGAGCTTGTTTCTGTAGTTCGAAGCTGTCTTTAATCAGGGTGGTTAATGCCAAGGGAGCTTCATCTCCTACGTGACCAGGTTCTTCAATTAGCTCAAGCAAAACCATAATCAACTTGGTCTTAATCTGTTTGTCCTGAAAATGACAGGGAGAAGCATGCCCAAGTGCAATCAAGCAGAGGCAAGCAAGTAGTCTTGTGCGTGGACTCCGATCATGTATTAACCCAACTACTGAACGAAAACCTTTTCCATGGTCCATTGATGCAAATCTTGAAGCAACGTCTCTGTTATTTCGAATGACTGCAGTGACCGAACCTAAACAAGCATCCCTTAGATTCATAGATCCTCCAAAAAGGCTAACAAGTTTCTGTGGAACTCCAGCACTGCATAGTGACAATTGTTCTGCACTACTCTCACATGAGTGAGATATAATAGCAGCAGCCAGCTCTGTGACATTCTCGTTCTCACTGTCCAAAAGCGAAAGAACAAAATCCATGTTTTTCCCACTATTAACATCAAACTTTGGAGCTAATCTTGATTGGTATATCATTCTGAGAGCACGTGCACTTGCATCCACAACCTGTAATCAAGAGAACAACATTAAATAAAACATTTGTAGCAGCATTATCTACAACCATATCATACAAAACAATATGAATAATCATTAACCAAAATTGGCTCATAAGCACAATATATAAACATGTGTTCAACAAAGAAGATTTTCTTGGGTTCCTCTCCTTACAATTGTACATGTGCTACAGCTAACAAAAACACAATTAAATAATTATTGAATTCAAGCAACAATGAAAACTTAAGATTTCAGAGAGATAACAATGAATTACTTGGTAATGAAACATAATGGAGATTTTGAAGTTTTCTGTCATAATTAGTTACATTTTCTGAAAGAGAATTTTGAAGTAAGACAATCAGGCGAAAGCTTGTTGATCAGAAAAATGTAGCAGGTAAAGGCATTAGCAAAATTCGCTGAATAGAGCCATGTTTATATCCTGAATATGCACAAGAATCATTTTCAAATATAAATATCAGAAATTACCTTGTCACAAACTAGAAAAAGGGAGAAAAGAAAACCAGCAACTGCCACATCATTATGTCAGAAAAACAGGCATGTTTATCCTTTTATAACAATCCCTATATAATTAAGGTCGATAGCGGTGGTTGTGATAAGGATGTTGAGATGTGACAATAGAAAAATACCAAAGTAATCATTTCATCTCCTTTATTTTCTTTTCTTACCCAGCTACCGTGTTATATTCCCCCCTTAATAGTCATTCTGTACCACAAAGGAGTGAACGTTGGCCTCATAGTCACCAAACTAAACAGTTTGTTCACTTGCAGACTACCTCCATAATTCACTCAAGCTCATATATCGATTGCATCACCAGTTTATAGATCATGTGAGCGATTATATATTGGTTGAAATTTTTGGGGAGGCAAAATTCTGACTAATGCATGTGGGGTTTTCGAACTGCAATCCTGGACTGAATGCTACTACTCTGACATCAGGAACCATACAAGTTCTAAGTTCAAGCATAAATATGAGCTCCAGTTGTGCCATAACTAACAGAAGCAATTTACCACAGATTTTTTAGATTGTGTTCAAAAGAGGAAGAAAAATTTAATCGATGAATATAGACGATCTCTACAGGAATCCAACATAAAAAGACAACTTTCCAGCACATCCTCCCCCACCATCACCAAACCTAACCATTGACCCGCTACCAAACTCTCCTGATTTCAAGCACAAATGAACAATAATTACACTACTCCAACCAAATGATGAGAACAGCATAAAAAGGAACGGGCATAGAAAAGAAGAGAAAATGAAATGCCAACCGCCACAGTAGCTCTCACCTTAACTAAACCAACATATTCTCCAACAGTTTAGCTCAAATAATCCCTCATTCCAAGGCTTTAAGCACAAACCACCAATCATAATTCCCTAATGCAGAGTTGTTTCCTTCTTTTCAACCAATCCGTAGTTATTGGCCATCAAACTTACCCCAATTTATTTCAAATTTTAACTAGAATCGAAACCCTTATACTACAGAACATGTTAACAGCAAATGGAATGATGTAGTTGCCAGTTGCCACACACCTCATCCCAAATTCCCAATTGCAGAAGGTAAGGTCAAAATTCTTCAACAATCCAATCAATAGTTCTCACATAAATGATGAAATGGACACCATTTGCACCCAGTTCAGGCTCAAAATTCCAAGCATAATTGCTAAGGTATCCCAAAATCTACAACAGGAACCAAGGCAAGCAGTTATTGCTGCTAGCTTCCGTCAACTCTGCTGGGCGCAACAGATCTTTTCCCAATTAAGCAAGAAACTCACTTTTCTATTACCAAAACCAATCAGATTCCCGCAGACACAAGCTAACGAGCAAGTGAAGGGGGCAGACCGCAGACGCTACCTTCTCGTCGGTGTGAGCGAGGAGCCGAGTGAGGTGCTCCACAGCGCCGGCGGCCAGCACGGCGCGCGCGCCATCCTCTACGCCGCACGCGAAGCTCCCCGCCGCGGCGGCCGCCTGCACGAGCGCCGCCGGCGAGGCTCCGGGCTCTGCCAGCGCCGCCACGACCGACGGCACGGCGCCCAGGCGGAGGTAGAGGAGCTTCTTGGTCCGGTTCCCGATGATCTGGTTCTTGATCTCGCGCAGCGCACGGACACGCTCGTGCTCCACCTCCTCTCCGCCGGCACCGGCACCGGCGCCGCCGCAGCCCGGGACCGCGCCCGGGGCGGGCCCCGCCCCCGCGGCCGCCAGCCTCGCCGTCAGCTCCTCCGGCCTCGTCCCCATGCAGCTGGACGCAGACGACGTCGACGCGGGTGGCGCGGGCGACGCCTCCTCCGGCCGCGCGCCGCCGCCGCTCGGCGTGGCCGGCATCTGGGTGGGGGTCGGAGGGGGAGGTGGCCGAGAGGTGTTTTATGTAATTATTGATTTTTTTGGGTATTTTTTAGCAGCTTTTTTTTCCTGCTTGGTTGGTGTTTATAGGAGAGGGATGGTGATAGGCAAATGATGGGTGGGCCAGGGGCACGGCCCAGTTACGTGCCGCCACGTGGAAATAAGAATTAGTTAGTCTATTTTTTAGCTTGTGACTACAATGAGCCTGTGTGCGTGTGACGTGGGACAGCTGGTGAAATCATTGGGCCTGAATTTTGTTGGATTTTTTGAAGTCGCATTCGTATTTAATTTTTGTTAGATTTTTTATTACGAAGCCGGTGGCTGCATTGGATTTGGTCTGATAAATGGACATATACCGACAGGTGCATTTATAAGTACATTTTCGTTTTTTTTTGTTTCTTTTTGGATCATGGTGTTTTTTTACATTGTTTTATGAATTTCATTGCCTTTGTTGCTTGTGTGATTCTTTTTTTTCTACAAATGTTTAACCTCAATCTAATAAGCATAAACATTCTTATACGGCTTTGTGGGCGTGATATTATTTGTTTTTAGTATTTCAAGTGTTCTATTCCTATTTGTGGTGTGTGGTGTGCTATTTGTCATGGTAGTTGAAGTCGAGGGCTCCAGCCTCCAGGGCACATTTGGCTTTAGGGTTAGATCACATGGCTTTGTTCGTCCGAGCCAGGCTTGTCTTGCTAGGCCAGGTGAGCCAAAATGACTTTTTTATTAAAGGAAAGAAAAAAAGGCTTGTCAGCACACGCCCTGATGCGATTCCAACTATAAACAACCTCTTCACCTTATATCTCGCTCTGTGATGTGAGACTATTTAATAGTTAAGGAGTCAAATATACCTTTAGCAGCTTTTCATCTTGAAAAGGTATACGGTTATACTTTAGGTGTAGTAAGAATTTTCCCCCCCTAAGCACGAGCATGTTGAAGAGTGTGCTATAAGTTGGAGATCATAAATACTATAGAATCTATTTTCATCTCCTACCCTATGAATTTAAGATAGGTCTACTTGTGAGCTTGGGAATGTTATGTAATGTCAAATTCCAAGCAAAATAGCCTAATCCATTAAGTAGATTCAAATTCCTCTAAAATAAAGGGATCCAAACCCCTAAAATAAAAAAAGTGTACATGTAACTCATAAATCAATATTATTAATGGAGCATAGCGTTGTGATCAAATTATAAGAACAGTCCCGTCTCAAACGGAGATGTATTAAACAATGCACACATAATTGTCCTGTAGCACGGCATGTCTTAAGTCTTGGGTACATTTCCATGTCATGCTAGCAGCACAGTTAAGCCAAGTTGTAGTACCGAACAAATAACAAAAGGCACATCACGTTCCTTGATGCCTGCCAAGCGTCAAGCGTGGCCTCTGTATTACTTTTGTGCAATGAGAGCGCCATGCATGGGTCCCAACTTCCTCCGTCCACCGCGCAAAAGGTAGGGACAAATATTTGGCTACATCTTCAACTTACCGCACAGCGCACATAGTCAAGTTGCAAACAGCTTTAAACTCTGACTTAGAACGACCTCCAAAATGTTAACCATGCCTGTCGACCATGAAATTGCCACTGAAGCTAAGATTTTTTGCAGGAGGACTTGCAAACATATGGCAAAATTCATTTTGCCATCGAAAACACATGGCAAAATTACACGATACCGAAACACTCTCCAAACAGAAGGACCGAGCACATTTTACCCGAAAACCTACAACCGAACCTAACCGAACCAAAACCGAACTGAAACACTCTCCAAACAACAAGAGATTGGGCATAGGTTTTAAGTGCAACAAACCAACTCCGTTTGTTGCAACAAACCGAATGCCCATGCTCCGCTTGTTGCAGCTAAAGCAACTGCAGCTACAAACTCTCTCACCAGGCAATGTAGCAGCAACGACCGCTACTTTAGGGGGGTCATTCGGTTGATCGAATTGGTTCTGCTCGCGAGAATCGTGTGGAACGGCGCCAAAATGCTTTAGACCAGAAACATTTCATGTATGTCGCCTAGACTCCCGCGCCGATTCTCTTCTGTTTTTGTTGCATCCGTTTGTGCTATCAATTTTAGTATTTTAGTTATATAATCCTTTTTATTGCATCAATTTAAAATATGTTGTATTTAAGTTATTCTCTGCCTACAAATAGATTTTTAAAACATGTTTTTATTTAAATATTTTTTTTAAAACATTTTTTCTTATAAATCAAAAAATCTAACCTACTAGCCAAATAGTCTTATAAGTTGATTATAATTTATCTCCTAAATATTTTTTTAAAAAATCGTAAATCTAAAATGTTTCTTATGCACCCTATGGTAGCCGGGCTCAGAGTCAACACACTGACTGCCAGTGTGCTCAATCCTCGAGTGGGTCAAGATGGGCCACTGCGGACGCGGCATGATGGTAACACGAGCGCTCCGGCCCACGGCCCACCTTGGCCCGCCGTTCTTCTTCCACCTCCGCAACGCTCAGGCATGAGAGCATCTCGAAGAGAATCCTATTTTTCCCTCCTAAAACATATAGTCTTGTAACTCTTAAAAAGGTATTGAGAGAAAAAAAGGTTATCTCAAAAGTTTCTAATAATCTACTCCTAAAATATTGAAAATAATTTTATATCAAGAATCCTATATTATTTCTAAATTATCGTAACCACTTTTATATATTCTTTCTCTCTCGCCCTTCCATCGACTACTGACCGATACGTATGGGAGAATAGTATCCACGCCATGTAGGATCCACGCAAAGTTACATGGAACGGGGGGGTGGATTTTCCGGCTGCCTAAATTTTATGAGGAAGTTTTAGGAGTTGGAGAGGAATTTTTTCTTATGTTTCTAAAAATAAGGATTATCTTGAGATGCTCTGAGTCGTGGCCCTCCGGGCGACGCCGCCGCACAAGGTGCTCGCTTCCCAGCCGCCCCCAAACCCGAACCCCGGCGCGGATCCTAGCCGTGCGGCGGCTGGAGCTGGTGCTCGAGCGCCCGCCGCGGCTGTCTAGGGTTAAGGCGGGGCTGACGCGGCGCGGGCGGGCGAGTGCGATGGCGTCGCTGGGGCGGCTCAAGTCCGCCATCTTCGATAGGGAGGAGAGGAAGATGTAAGCCTCTCGTGCGGCAATCCGCCAATCCCCATGTCGTTCCTGTGCCTCTCTTTACCTTCTTCGATTCGATGTGTCCGTTGTGTTGGCGCCCTTCGATTCTTAGATAGATTCCTGCGGCTCAAACTGGATAGAGAAACCCTAGCCTTTTTATCTCTAAATTACTTGCTATTATGGCTGCTGAAGAGCAATGTTTTATATGGTTCAGTACTCTTTGCGTCTCCACCATGCCTTGGTTCATTCGGTTGGGAAATGTAAAATTACTGGGTCCACTAACCCTAATAATTTACTTATTTGTCTGTAATTGCTTTGCAGTGGTTACTAATTAGTGTAGGTTAGTGCAGAACCGAAGGCGAGGAATCTTGAGCTCTTACTTCAGTACTCTTGCGGTGTTTGTGCTGCATAGTGGTCTCATTAATCTGGATGGGGGTTTGATGGATGCAGGCAGTACCAATCGCACATCCGCGGGCTCAACGCCTATGATCGCCATAAGAAGTTCATGAAGGATTATGGTATGATCTTTGTCTGCAATCTTTTCTGGCAAAAGCATGCCAACCTTGTCTTTCCCCACGTTTTTCGTTGATTCATTTGGGAATTGTGTAGGTTAAGGTATTATCTGTTGCAGTGGCGGATCCAAGATCCAAACCCTGTGGGGCCAAGCTTGACATAGATATACACAAGATAGATTAATTGCAAGTTAATTAACAAGTGTTACGTATGGGGTTTAACATGTTGTGGCAAAACCCACAGCTTAAGTGTAGATCCGCCACTGATCTGTTGTTGAAATAAATGGTTTCTAGAAAAGAATAGCATGGTAATGTAATAATAAGCTATGTAAGCCAAATTATACCTGGTAAACTGATGGTGTTCTCTATGTCAAAAGAAACAGGGAACATTTGTAACTTGCAGTTCTTCTGTTACTGTAGGAACCAGCACATACAACATACTCATGATGCTCTAAAGTATATGCCGCAAGCTGCTGGCACTTCTGTTATTACTAATTACCTCAAATGCTGCATTATGTATGGAACGGAGCAATCAACACACTAAAAATCTTATTGAATTCCTTTATAGGCTTCTGCTTCGGATCACAGCCATTCAACATGGTGGCGTGACTGCTTTGGGCATAGCTTTAAATTTGATATATCGGTACCTTGTCCCACTGCAAATGTCTGGGCAGATTTGATTTGCCCTTTCATGGTGAAGAGGAAACTGGGGCAGTGGCATATAATGAGTTATTTATTTGCTTAACCTTGGCTTCCAAAATAAACTGAATGATGAACAGTCCCCTCTACATTAGAAAGAATTGGGGGCTACCTTCATTAATACATGGATTATGTATTTCAAAATATATCTTGTCAGCTAGCTTAATACAGAAAACATTTTAATGGGAATTTTTGTTTACATGGGATTTAAGCCCTGGTCTCCAACCTGGTGCAATGTTACTTCTCTGCCCAATGCCAACCCATGGATAGATCACAGATTCACAGAATGAACCTTTCATTGTGAGAAGGAAACTGAGATAGTGGCATGTAACGAGCTATTTATTTGCTTACTCTTGGTTTCCAAATGAAATAGGATGATGAACACTCCCCTCTATTGTAAAAAGAATTGGGGTCTACCTTCATCCATACATTGGTCACATACTTAGATCTGTAACTTGCATTCCCTAGTTGAATACAAAATATATTCAAATCTGGATTGTTTTCTTCACAATAGAATCGATGTCCTGTTATCCCAATTCTCAGTCTTGTGATATACTGATACCTGACTAGATGTACATTTAGGAGAAGTATAAACTTTTGGAAAAACATGGCAAGTATAATATTAAGTGGGGTTGCTTGGATTTTGAAGGGTTTCTTTGGTTTGGTTGGCATACTTCTAATAGTGCAGTTCTTGAGTATTTCTACATGGATATATTTATGAGCAATCTCGAATGCATGAATTCAAAACTATGAGAATTGTATTTTAGGTTTAAATAAATGGTTCCGGAATAGAATAGCATGGTAATGGAATAATAAGCTATGTAAACCTTACTTTTTCACCCAATGCCAACCCATGGATAGATCACAGAATGGACCTTTCATTGTGAGAAGGAAGCTGAGATAGTGGCATGTAACAAGCTATTTATTTGCTTACTCTTGGTTTCCAAAAGAAATAGGATGATGAACAGTCCTCTCTATTGTAGAAAGAATTGGGGTCTACCTTCATCCATACATTGGTCATATACTTCGATCTGTAACTTACCACCCCCTAGTTGAATACAAAACACATTCAAATTTGGATTATTTTCTTCACAAAGGAATCAATATGATGTCCTGTTATCCCAATTCCCAGTCTGGTGATATACTGATACCTGACTACATGTACATCCAGGAGAAGTATGAACCTTTGAAAAGCATGACAAGTATAATCTTAAGTGGGGTTGCTTGGATTTTGATGGATTTCTTTAGCCACTGGTTTGGTTGGCATACTTCTAATAGGGTAGTACTTGAGTACTTCTACATGGATATATCATATATGTATGAGCAATCTCTGATGCATGAATTCAAAACTAGGAGAATGTATTTTAGGTTTCAAAAACTCTTGCTTTATGTATCCCAGTCTTCAAGAATAGTGGCGTGAAAGAATTACCCCTTCATTGTAGAAAGAGTTGGAGATCAGACACTCAACCTTACAGTTTTTTAAAACCCTATGATATTAGTGTAGATCACATCTATCCTTCCTTTCCTGTATGATGTATCTATGTATTGCCACTGATACGTGTTTTGTCTTTAAACAGTTCAGTTTTATGGCCATGAGAAAAATGTGGATAGTAGTTTGCCCATCAAAACTGATAAAGATACACTGAGAGAAGGATACAGGTCAGAATGATGTCTGTTAAATGTTCATGGTACAACATATACCTGTGGTTTTGGGAAACTCGTAACTCATAAGTGCCTCACTTTACTTCTATTGTGTAAAAGGTTCATTATTTCTGAGGAAGATGACATGGATTCAACTTGGGAGAAGAGGCTTGTCAAACGTTACTATGACAAGCTTTTTAAGGAGTATCCTTTTTTTGGTATATTTGATATTATTTTGTTTTTTTTTTCTGTAAGGACATGTCAGTACATGACATATTTTTCAGATAAGTTTGTGAAGTAACATGTTCATATATGCTGAAGCTAATGTTGTTACATGAAGCTATTTAATAGTTTGGTGATATAAATAGGCATAAGTCATGTGAATGTTATAGAACATGCATCTGTCAGTGCCCTCTGCATTGCCACATTCTTCTGTGTTACTTTCACCTCATGAACTTATGCATTCTGTCAGCTAGGATTGATTGATGCTTGTCTACATGGGAACTATATTTTATGGGGTTTTATTATTCCTTGTAATTTTTGTAAGGTTTAACTCTATTGTGCTTAGGGTCCTTAACATGAGGAAGGTATTGCATTGCTGACATGACCCAGTACAAAAAAGGCAAGGTGTGTTCCTTTAACCATGTGTCATACTACCATTGAAAGCCATTTCTTGATGTAAACACTTAGTTTTTCCTTCACTCTTGAACACCATGGAACAGAAAGAATGTTTGTAGCATGACCTTTAGAGGGGCCATTATGTACTTTTAGAGAGTGATCTCTACGTACGGGCAAGATTGCAAGAATTATATCATGCCAATTGTGATACTCTTTCAACTTGATTTCGTATTTCATAAATTAATAAATGGGCAGTAATAGCAGGATGACTGTTCTCCTTGGTTTTGGATTTGTGTCGATGTGCATATTGCAGTAAGCATGTTTGCCACACCCATTATTAATGTTTAGATATGGTAGGCATGCACAACAGCACAAACACTGGTTATCAGAAGTGAAAACAAGTAATAAGCATGACAGTCATGCATACTCATGATAGGACGATGAATGAGTGTCCAACCACTTCTTTTGTTTCTGAAATGATCTGTAGTTTTGGATGTGATTTGCATGTTATGAGGGCATTTTCTGCTGCAGATTGGATTGAGATGGAGAACAGAAAAGGAGGTGATATCTGGCAAGGGTATTATTCAGTAATCCTATCAGTTAAATTCCATCTAAAATGGTTTACCTGAAAACTGTGGCTGAATTTGGATCATATGAGTATTCTGTTGCTACTAACAGACCTTTCAAATGGAAGTCCAGAACTTAAACGGGTATTTAAAGAAACTGTATCAAACTATCAATGTTACCGAGCTTAAAGGGTTGCTTGTTACACTTAGCAAAGGACATGTGGGGGTTGCTTGCATTGAACAACCTCAAACTCCAAAATGGATCAGAACTGAATTCTAGTTTTTGAAAGCCATTGTTGTAGTTTTCTCATATATTATTATACTTATGTGTAACAGAACGCAGAAAGTTCCCCGAGAGATCAGAAATATAATATTCTTGCAAACAGGATCTGCTATTGTTGATCAATATCAATAATAATTCCGTAATAACCAGAATATGCTCTTATGCAGGGCAATTTATCTGTGGCAATAGGCATTGTGATGAAAAACATGGTCTAGGTAGTTATGAGGTATGCTATGTGCTAATATCTTGTTGGTACTAAAATGTGTACAATGCATTTTTTCCCAAAGAACTGTTTTAGCTGTATTTGTAGTCCTTACATTTCTTTTTTCTTTATCTCATGTTCAGGTCAATTTTTCTTATGTTGAAGCAGGGGAACAGAAACAAGCACTAGTGAAGTTGGTAGCCTGCAAAAGGTTAGTGAATCCATTGTTCCGTGATAGTATTTGTTTGAAACAGTTTTTAACTATCACTGCTGTACTTTCTTGTTATGATATTTGTTTAATTAAGCTTTTCCATGGACCACCGAGTCCTGCTGTCATTCCTGCCTTCTTTTTGTTCAAGCAAGCATTCAATTGGTTATTTAGCCTGATTGTAGTACATTATGAAAGATGTGCAGAAAAGCTTGCTTATAAGAGGCAAAAGGAGAAAGAGAAGGAAAATGAGCTCTCTGGTGAAAAGGAAATTGAATTGAAAGACAGCGACAAGAGAAAGAGGTACTTCTAGTTCTTCTCCACCCCCATTATGTTTATTTACCCTATATTCTTTAATTCCGCTTTTCATACTGCAGAAAACATGAGGAAAATGATGATACCTCAGAGGACGAGGACGAGAAATATAGAAGAAAGAAAAAAGGTATCCATGATTGCGGACACCTTTGTGTGTGGTTATGAACTATGATGCATTTTGGGGCAGGCATGCTATGCTTAATTAAGGGCTTGTTTGGCCCCAAATTTAAAAACTCAGGCTTATAAACCCGCAAACCGGCTTTTTATAACATCCCTGTTGCCTAACCAGCCATATGGTAGATTGGTAGAATGATAATTTTGGAGCGGTGGGTGAACCCCTCTGGCACTGAAAATAACTGTATAGAATACGGTAAGGAAAAAGAATCAGAAAATTAAAATGATAAAAAATGGTGTGGTTGTGGTGCCTGGCGCTCATCGAGGCAACAAAAAGGTGCCACATATCTGGAGAGAACATATGGCTGGCATTAGGCTCACTAGAACCTGTGATGGCATTGAGCTTTGTCGATTGTTCCATGCTATGTATAGTTGTGTTTTTTTTTTCCTTGGGAAATTGAGGATGCAATAAATTCTGGTAGCCAGAAACTCACCCTTGCAAACAATTCTGCAGATCGGAGTGGAGCTTCTTCAAGGAGTTCAGGGAATAATGACGAAGGCTTCGAGGAGTACCTCGAAGGTATGTTCCCGTGATCTGATTCTTAGTGGTTACTAAAGAAAAGGTGGCTAGGAAAGAAGGCTCCTTGACATCCATCGAAGAAAAAGATGCACGGATCTTGGAACAACACCTTACTGTTGGAGTAGCAAGTCAGTTGCAAACCCGACACTCTATGTGCTTTGACTACAAAAGTCATGTAAGTGTGCTGTCTGTAATTATGTGTGCCTGCGTTGTTTCGTTTTCGCATCACTTTCAGAGTAGTGGTTGATGCCTGTTAGTCAAAGAAGAGTGTAATGTAAAACTTCCCGGCCCTGCGTTTGTTGTTAGACTGAATGACACTTCCAGCAACGTCGCTTTCCATGTATACATCAATGTTCTGCCTTAGAGCTTCAGTGTTTTCGGTAGTTAGTTTTCTGCTGTAAGCATTGTGGTTAGTTGGCTTCTTTGGGTGTTAAAAGCCTAGTTTGCATAAAATAAAACAATACATTGAAGAGCTTGGAATTATATTTATACTGTATTATACCTCAATGATTGGAAAACAAAGAACTATTTTTTTTCTTCAAAAAAACAAAACAAAACAAGAAAACAAAGAACTTGGAATTATATATTTATATTGAACCTCACTGTGTGGAAAAACAAGTTGCAGTGTTCAATTACTGATTTATTGTACTACAAAACATTAGAACCCTGGACTGCGTAACTTGTACGTATGTCTGAACTCTGCTGAGACTTTTCTCAGCATCAGTGAAGGCATGCAAACAGCCTTGTAGCCGCCGGCATCCGGTTCTCTCCAGCTGTGGCTTGTGTCACTTCCCCGAGCGGCCGACCCCCGTCGCTTCAAACACTGTCATGCCATGCCCCGGGCCGTCAAGGCCATGTTATTGGTGCTGCCGGTGCTTCATTATGCTTCAGTCCGTGGTTTACATTACGTGTCGACGACGAGCTTGGCCCTGGCGTGGCCGGACTCCACCCTGTACTGGTCGCCGACGCCGAAGTGCGCCATGAGCAGCCACACGACGGTGAGCAGCTCGCCGCCCTGGCTGAGCTGCCGGGCGTGGGCGCTCCCGCCGCACTTGCCCGCGGCGTAGCAGAACATCTCCACCCACGCGCTGGCGACGAGCCGCCAGCGCTTGGCCTCCGTGGCGCCCTCCAGATCCAGCAGCTGCCTCGCGAGCTTGCACGCCTGGAACAGCACCGACTTGCTCCGGTCCCCCTTCACGTCCCGCGGCTCCGCGATGGACGTGTTCACGGCCCGGAGCCTGTCCGCGCACCCCGCCTCGTCGGCTCGCCGGAAGAAGCTCTTGGCCTCCGCGCAGGTGTCCCCGAACCGCATCTGCCCGATGCTCGCCGTCATCATGAACGGGCGCATCACCAGGAGCAACAGCATGTAGCTGGATATCTCCCTGCTCAGCGCCGGCAGAGCGTCCTGGCGTTCCGGACCGCCGCCGGCGTTCTCAGGGTTGGCGTAGAAGCAGAGGTCGGTGGCGATGTGCCAGAGGAGGATGCTCTCGTCGAACTCGCAGTCGACGCTCCAGCCCAGCTGCTTGTACAGGCCCTTGAGCTGGAGCGCCCACTAGCCGCGGTGCTCGCCGAGCTTCCGGTAGCTCTTGGGGTCCATGGTGCTGCTGGCCTTGCTCTTGAGCTGCTCGAACACGAGGCGCTTCAGCGGCTCCGACACGGCGATCTTCTTCGTGTACCTCCAGCTGTCCCACATGGTCTTCACGCGGATGTTCCACCTCCACTCCAGCCACTCCATGAGCTCCTTGTACCAGCGGCGCTCGTCCCTGAGGCAGTAGCTGATGAGGTTGTACTGCGACATCTGGTCCGACCACCTCGGCCTCGTCTCCGGCTGGAAGAACTCGATGAGCCAGAACACCGCCTTCGCCGCCGGCCGGAGCCGCTCGCTGGCCCGCAGGTCGGCGTACCTCCAGGGGTAGATGACCATCAGGAGGATGTCGTAGGTCTCCAGGAAGACGGCGCCGCCCAGCAGCACGTAGGAGATGTCGACGTCGACGCTCGTGTAGCCGTAGCCTCGCGTCTCGCCGGCGGCGCGCGCGAAGAGCACGAGCGACACGACGGGCGCGGCCAGGGTGAAGACGCGCAGGCCCCGGCCCAGTCAGCTGTGGATCACCGGGGCCTTGGAGTGGAGGGACTCGTACATGAGCACCAGCTCGATCTCCACGACCTTGAACACCTGCTCCATCTCCAGCTTCCGGAAGAAGGCGAGGCTGTCGATGCGGTCCGGGAAGCTGAGGATGAGGTCCACGAAGAGGCGGCGGACGGTGTGGAAGAGCCGGTGCGCGCTGTACACCAGGTCGCAGTAGGCCACCCGCTTCACCTCGACGTGGGCGTCGTCGTCGGGAGGCCGCTCCGGCACGATGACGATCTTGGCCACCAGCCCGGCGTCCCTCCTCGACTGGCACTCCTCCACGAACTTGGCGTAGTTGGGGCCCGGGTCCGGCGGCGTCAGCATGGAGCTGCGCAGGCTGCCCATGCTCGCCGCCCGGAGCGCCAGCGTCCGCTCGCCGTACTTGGTCACGCCGGCGACGAACATGACGACCGCCGGGACCATGAGCCGGACGCCCGGGCGCGACTTCCAGTACACGTACCCGGCGAGGACGACCTGCGACACGAGTCTGAGCAAGTGGCGCAGCCAGAGCTCGTTGTCCTCCACGGCGAACGCGGTGATGGTGTCCTGGCCGCCGAGGTGGAGGATGAGGAACGGCTCCCAGAAGACGAGCACGTGCATCTCGGCGTCCCGGGACCCGTCGCAGAGCTTCTGGTTCTGGGACAGGTTGCCCAGCGCGTAGATGGCGACGTAGTCGGCCAGCAGGTACGCGAGCCAGAGCGGCATGCGCAGCCACCACTCGGCGACGCGCTTGCGCAGGCCGCCGGCGAAGAGGAGGAAGACCTGCAGGGCGAGGCTGGAGAGGACTAGCACGCGGATCTCCCACTCCCCCCATACGTCCCAGGCATGCTTCAGCTTCATCTCCGACGAGCGACGCTCCACTCTGTTTCTTGACTATTCCTCAGCAACTCAGAGGCTTATCTGCAAAGTCGTAAAATTATTAGATCCATGACTCCATGTCATGTGAGCCTCATTGCCTCTGCATCGAGAGCACTGCACGCCAAAGGACATGGACGGCAACTCGGCAGGAGAAGCACGCTGCTTCCTCTTCAGGCAGAGGCGCAGAGCTCAGAGGTTTCCTGCCAACGGCTACGGGCTACGGCCATGGCGACCGGTAGAAGACGTCGACGCATTGCCGTTGACTGGCACAGGTCCTTGCAAAATCAGTTTACCAAAGCAATTAATTTCCTTCCGATTTATAAATAGGATATGTCTCCTAAATAAGAAATTAGTTTTGCTAGACGAAAATTTTCCTTCCTACACTCAGAATTGGGACTTGCTAAAATTCAAGTGTCTTTAGGCGACGGTTATTGCATATGTTTTATACTTAAACTGCAGTTTATACAGACATAATCTGCAATTTTCGGTTCTGGAAATGAAAAACCTTTTAGACAAAACTACAAAATATGATCTGTGTCAGCACAAAGACAATTGATAATCTATAGCAAGAAAAGGACAAAAATTTGATATATTATGATACAACAAAGATGAATAACAAAATCACAAAAGTAACAATTTACTCGTACTTGTTGGTTGTACAAGATGTTCACTGAAATTATCTTAAAATTCAGGCACCTGAAATATAGAAGTGTGAAAGAATGGGGTGAAATATTCCTAGATGTTTAGTTACATTTTCTCACCTAGAAAAATCAGATGAAATATTCCTTCAACACAACTGTGTTTTTAGTTATACCAATTCTACCTAGAAAAATCAAGCGAAATATTCCTTCCCATACCCGAATTTCTAGTTACACCAATTTTAAGTAATAAGAGCATCTCTAAGAGTATTGCCGAGAGATAAGTAGCTCCCAAACTATCACACCAAATACAAGGTTTTTGATTTTTGAGAAATACAAGTTCCTTTAATATGGATGGTAACCAAATTATTTGTGCAGTTGCATTTGCCATAGACTTATATTCAGCTTCTATACTTGATCGAGATACAATTGCCTAGTTTTTTAGCAATCTAAGAAATTAAATTATTCCCATAGAAAATAGCAAAACCACTCGTGGAATTTTTGTCATCGGCACATCCTGCCCAGTTTGCATCAGAGAATACACTAATAAGAGTAGATTGTGACTTTCCGAATGTCACCCCTAAACCGATGGTTCCTTGTACATATCTTACGACTCCCTTTGCAAGTTTGAAGCTATCTAATGAACAGGGGTTGGCACATGAAGATATTGACATATCTTGTTAACACAATATGCTATGTCAGGTCTTGTGATTGTCAAATGCTAAAGTGCACCCACTATGCTTCTATATATTGTACTATCTTCTGAGCTAAGCAATTCACCATCATAAGTAGACAATTTTTCAGAAACTGATAATGGAGTAGAAACATGTTTGCAATTCTCCATATTAACACGTTTCAACAGGTCTTGTGCATATTTCTCTTGAGAGAGAACAATTTCATTGTGTGTTCTCTTCACTTCTATACCAAGGAAATAATGCAAATCCCCCAAGTCTTTCAATCCGAAGCAACTACCCAAGCCTATTAATAGTGCTAAAATTGCCTGATCAGATGAGCTAGTAACAATGTGAAAGGATCAAGATGCCTAAGAGGGGAGGGGTGAATTGGACTAATTCTAAATTTCTTTGCAACAATTAAACCCTACGGTTAGCCCAACTTCACCCCTTGTGCCTAGAAAGTGTTTCTAATGTTCTACTGCACAAAAAGACTTGCAACCTAAGTTCCAATCCTACTCTAGCATGTCAATTCTATGAATGTAAAGACAAGAATTGAGTTTCTCAAACTAAATACTCAAAGTAAAGAGAGAAGGAGGAATGCGGCGATGTTTTGCCGAGGTATCGGAGAGTCACCACTCCCCACTAGTCCTCGTTGGAGCACCCGTGCAAGGGTGTAGCTCCCCCTTGATCCGCGCAAGGATCAAGTGCTCTATACGGGTTGATTCTTTGACACTCCGTCGCGGTAAATCACTCACAACCGCTCACAACTTGAGTTGGGTCATCCACAAGCTCCGCCGGATGATCACCAAGCTCCCAATCATCACCAAGCCGTCTAGGTGATGGCGATCACCAAGAGTAACAAGCACGAACTCTCACTTGACCACGACAAGCCTAATGAGAAGGGTGGATGCATACTTTGCTACTCTTGCTTTCACTAATGAGGGCCTTCTCTTGGATTTTCAAATCCCAATCGCCTCACTAGGACCTTGCTCTTCTTGGCACTCTCAAGGGTGTTTTTCAGCTGTTGGAATGAGCAAAAGTACCCCCTCACATGAATGAAGTAAGTATTTATACATCCATGTTCAAAATGAACCGTTATGTGCCTCTGCGGGGTGACCGGACGCTTCGGTCAAGTTGACTGGATGCTCCAATCAGTTCACCCCAAAACCTAGTGTTTAAGTTGTGACCGGACGCGTCCGGTCACGATTTTCCCTCTCTGGAACCTTACTGGAGTCGACCAAACGCTGGCACCCAGCGTCCGGTCGCACCAGATGATTTCACCTTGATCAAATGAACTGACCGGACTCTACGCCAGCGTCCGGTCACACCGGAACCAGCGTCCGGTCAGCATTTGACCCTTCATTCACTTCCAACTCTTAATCATACGTGAATAAAGTTCGCTCCAATAGATCTAAGGGCTTTTTAGGAGCTACCTAGTGCTAGATTTAGCAAGTGTGCACCACACCTAACCCACTAGACTCACCTAGGTCAAGCTACCCGTCCATACCCCCTTAATAGTACTGCCAAAGGAAAAATAAAGTCATAAACTATTCTAAGTGTCTCTTCAATACCAAATGACACTTAAAACTAATCCATCCTTAACCTTATCGTCCATCCTTTGAAAACCGAAACGATTTCCATCGTAGGGGCATGACAACCATTATTGCCCAATCGATCTCCATTACCATGACCTAACTTAATTGCCTCTATAAAACACACGTTAGTCATAGTAATCACGTATTGTCATTAATCACCGAAACCCAACTATGGGCTTAGATGCTTTCAATCTCCCCCTTTTTGGTGATTGATGACAATATCACTTCGAGTATGTGAAAGAGTTGAGGTTTTTAACATGCTTGGTTCATATAAGCTTTTGACAATAAGAACAAAAGAGTTAGCCAAGCTTATATAACCCAAGCCAACATAATGTACTCAAAAGATATAAAATAAGCATGAGTACAAGTAATAAAGCTCATTTGCATCGGAGTAAAACGTGAAAGCAAAGCAAATGAGCATAACACAAGTGATATGACATATAAATAATTCAAAGTAGAGAGCACACATGTCACATATCACATAACTATCACGATCACGTAGATATCACTATCACATAAATATAGTTTGTTGCATGAAAGTAAACATATGAATGCATAATAGCGTATCATACATAAAAAACCAAATATGATAGATAAACTCCCCCTGAATGAATCGCTCCCCCTAAATCTAACATACTTGATCCCTCTCTCCCTTTGGCGTCAAACACCAAAACCTACGGGTCGGTCGGTGGGGCTGCAGCGGACGAGTCGGGCGCTGAGGTGCGAGGAGCGAGCTGGAACTGTGTGCCATCATCATCTGATCCTGAGCTCTGAGCTGTCTGACCCTCTGTAGCTGGAAGCGATGCTGAAGCGGTCTTGGTCGGATCAGGGACTGGAGCGGCCTGAGACCCTGCAAGTATGACTGTAGCAGACGGCTCTGATGATGCAACTGAAGAAGGGAGCGTCTCTGTAGTCCCGGTAATAGGTGCAACTGTGGAAGGACCTGGGACATGTAGATATGCCATAATAGGCTGCCCTGTTGACTCACTGAAGGAGGCATCAAGGCTCCTAGAGACTGTAGTATCTGGCACAAGCAGCGAGGAAGTCTGAGCCGGTGTGAAACCTGTCTGAAAAGGTGTGAAGTGCGGGGCTGGCACTAGTGAGGCAAACCACTAGGACACCTGCTCTGTAGGTGAAGCAAACTGAGTAGCAGTCTATCCCTGACTTTGAAGCCCACTAGGCTATAAAGCTGGAGTCGTAGTAGTGGTGGCAGGCTAGCCGATCTGGGGTGAAGGCTGTGGCGGTGGAGCCCCAATAGCAGTGACTACATTCTGCATAAATCCAAGTAGCTGCTGCTGCATGAGAAGCTGCTGCTGCTGTATAGCCTGCTGCTGCTGGATCGCCTGCTACTGTCGCTGGAACTCATCCTGCCTGGTCTAAAACTGTGCAAATGTAGCAGTGGTCTCCTGAGCCTAGCGAGCCTAATCCTGCCTCATCCGCTCAAGTATAGCAAGTAGAGCGAGGTCTGTCTGCGGTGCAGGTGGAGCTGAACTGGAGCTACCGGCCTTATGGTCATGTCGTCGAGGAGGCATCTGAGGGATATCCCGGTAGTCATCATCTGAGCTGTCGCTGGGGTCGCTCTCAACCATCCCCTCTTGCTGAGCATCTAATTGCTCCTCCTCTGTAGCTGCTATGCCCCTGATTGTCTCATCTCGCTAAGCTACAGTCTCAGGCACCTCTGGACGACGGCGCGGCTGGCTAGGTGTCCTCACTACACTGTGGCGGAGCATCTGAGTCATGTTGTATGCAGGGAACTCTGTAGTAGCACCACTATACTCTGCTAGCATCTCAGGTGGCCTCACAGTAACTGCCCTATGGATCAAGAATGTAATCCAGTGAGCATATGGCAGCTGCCTGTGACCCCTAAACCCCTCTGCAATAGTATCCTCCATCTCTGATAGAATGAGATCCCAAATGTCAAACACAGTCTACTGCATCAGAGAGTTCAGTAGCCATAATTGTATGCGAGTCAAGCCCTCGTGATACCCTATCCTCGGAAGCAGGGTCCTCCTCATAATAGCATCAAGCACTCTAGCTATAGGAGTGAGGTCACTAGGTGTCCTGCTCGACCCTTC